AAGTACTGCTTGCAAAGGTAGGTCTTTAGATGTGCCTTGTATAGTGGGTGTGATGGTGAGAGCTTATATTCTGTTGGTAGATTGCTACAAAATGTGCAAGCACAGTATTCGAAAGATCTATTACCAAAAGTTTTCATGCGTATTTCTTGACAACAGGTGTTCACTTTCATAACAGAGATGTCTAGTTGGCTTATATTTAGGTAAAAGTTCCATCAGATACAGTGTGGCTGATTCACTGAAGCATTTAAACTAATAACTATTGCCTTAGAGACTTGTGCAAGTCTAGCATTTCGTCTACTGTTCTAAGAAGAGAATTATGTATTTGAAATGTGTGTCAATTGTCAATTGTGTTTAGAATCGACCTATTCATTTGCAAGATGCACAGAGTGTTATGAGATAGCATGTACAGTCAGTTGTATTGAGTGCTTGAAATGAGGGTACAATGTCGCCACAAGAACAGTCTATAGGCAACACACAATTATATCTACCGGCTCCATCAAATTTAAAATCTGGCGACCTATTTTAACTTCCCCGATAACCGTTCCTTAAAAAGTAATTATCCTTAAAATATGTATTTGCCTTGTCTGGATGAATGAGACCAGTGGAATCTGTTTTTTCTTATTTTACCCCATTTTTCTGTTGTTTTGCTCATTTTACAGTTGTTTTACTGTTGTTTCTCTCTTATTTTACTGTTGTTTCTCTCATTTTACTGTTGTTTTAGTCTCGTTTTACTGTTGTTTTATTCTAATTTTACAGTTGTTTTTCACTTGTTTTGAGTCAGTGAGTGAGTGATCGCTTAGCCTACCCCACCACTCAGTTACTATTGGTGCGATATGAGGTTGGTAGAATGTATACTGCATGATTGTCATACACTCTACCATCTGTGTTGTACATGATATAGATCCTTTAAATTTCTGTGTATGAACAATCTCTCCAGGTCAAGGTTAAATGTGCTCTCTAATCTCTGCTTTCTAATTTCCACACTGGCTGTAAAAGGGTTAATAAGATATTTCAGACGTCGCCATCAAATTGATCGCGTAATTTGGACATACAATGGACATTTATAACTGGCTCGTCAGTTGTTTTGGTTGGGAATTCAGAAACCTGACTCCTAGCATTAGACCTCTTCGTGATTTATTAGGATTATTAAAATTTGGGCGTGGTTCAAGCTTTTAATGTGCAGCAGATGGAGAGCAGTTTAGAAGCCGGCTTAGAACAGAGGTCGTTCAGTTTGACCTCCAGATTTCCAAGTTTCTGGTCAATAAACAACCCACGGGTCAGATGGGCGTCAGTGTCATCAACGTCACTTTGACGGCAAGAGTGTATGTGTTGCTGCGTGTACACTAACAGGGTTCGAGGGTTTATAGACACAGGGTTTACTGCTGGGTTTGAGGATATATACTGCAGGGTTTAAGGGTATGTACTCTGGGTTTGGGGATATATACTGCAGGGTTTAAGGGTATGTACTCTGGGTTTGAGGATATATACTGCAGGGTTTAAGGTTATGTACTCTGGGTTTGAGGATATATACTGCAGGGTTTAAGGGTATGTACTCTGGGTTTGAGGATATATACTGCAGGGTTTAAGGGTATGTACTCTGGGTTTGAGGATATATACTGCAGGGTTTAAGGTTATGTACTCTGGGTTTGAGGATAAATACTGCCGGGAGTGAAACTGGAGACTGCAGGGTTCGGGGATATATGCTGATGGGTGTGAGGGTATATAATTGAGGGTTTGATGCCATATCCACATTGTCACAGAGATCCACATTGTCACAGACATCCACATTGTCACAGAGATCCACATTGTCACAGACATCAACATTGTCACAGATATCCACATTGTCACAGATATCCACATTGTCACAGATATCCACATTGTCACGGAGATCCACATTGACACAGACATCTACATTGTCACAGACATCCACATTGTCACAGATATCCACATTGTCACAGATATCCACATTGTCACAGACATCCACATTGACACAGACATCTACATTGTCACAGACATCCACACTGTCACAGAGATCCACATTGTCACAGAGATCCACATTGTCACAGACATCAACATTGTCACAGAGATCCACATTGTCACAGATATCCACATTGTCACGGAGATCCACATTGACACAGACATCTACATTGTCACAGACATCCACATTGTCACAGATATCCACATTGTCACAGATATCCACATTGTCACAGATATCCACATTGTCACAGACATCCACATTGTCACAGACATCTACATTGTCACAGATATCCACATTGTCACAGAGATCCACATTGTCACAGACATCCACATTGTCACAGAGATCCACATTGTCACAGACATCCACATTGTCACAGAGATCCACATTGTCACAGATATCCACATTGTCACGGAGATCCACATTGACACAGACATCTACATTGTCACAGACATCCACATTGTCACAGATATCCACATTGTCACAGATATCCATATTGTCACAGATATCCACATTGTCACAGACATCCACATTGTCACGGAGATCCACATTGACACAGACATCTACATTGTCACAGACATCCACATTGTCACAGATATCCACATTGTCACAGATATCCACATTGTCACAGATATCCACATTGTCACAGAGATCCACATTGTCACAGACATCCACATTGTCACATATATCCACATTGTCACAGACATCCACACTGTCACAGAGATCCACATTGTCACATATATCCACATTGACACAGAGATCCACATTGTCACAGAGATCATCATTGTCACAGAGATCAACATTGTCGTAGATATCTCCATTGTCACAGAGATCCACATTGTCACAGAGATCCACATTGTCACAGACATCCACATTGTCACAGACATCCACATTGTCACAGACATCCACATTGTCACAGACATCCACATTGTCACAGAGATCCACATTGTCACGGAGATCAACATTGTCACGGAGATCCACATTGTCACGGAGATCAACATTGTTACAGACATCCACATTGTCACAGAGATCCACATTGTCACAGACATCGACATTGTAACAGAGATCCACATTGTCACAGACATCGACATTGTCACAGACATCCACATTGTCACAGACATCCACATTGTCACAGACATCCACATTGCCACAGATATCTACATTGATTTTTTCATGCGGGTAGCATGAGTTTTTATTTATTCCCCATTTCGCAATGCTTGCTGGGAAACGTGTGTCTACTTTGAGCTGCGGATATTTATATTACCAGACCATCGTCGTTCAATTAAGAGCAGCAAACTTCCCTTTTCCGTTTTCAGAATTCGGCGTGTGGTGGTATCTTCCATTGTCGGCTGTTCATACCCCGGGGGCATCCAAACACTTATCGGAGTTAGGAGTTAATATTGATTCACATGTACGTCCCCACCCAGGTGAGTTTTAGTTGGCGAAGTCTTGGACCCCTTCACACAACGTGAAAAAAGCGAGCAAGGGCGTCTAGGTTTTCTAGATTAATAATAAAGACAAGTTGTCCTACAAGAGACAGGACTCCTCAGGAGTACTGTCCACATATCTAGACCTGCTTATTAGGAGGATAGACTTACTACACATCCATTGACGTGTCTTTCACTACAGCCTTGGAGCAAGGCTACCCTCCTCTGTTTGCGTCTTTAGCAGTAACTTGTACCCTTCTGTAGTCACAATGTTCAATTGGAATATAATTTAGAAGTCGCCAGGGCTCAATTACTTGAGTGAGTATAGTTTCACGCCGCTGTTAACAAATCCAAGCAATGTAACACCTGTGGGATGGTTTGATTCCCCACACAGATACAAAGTGTAAAGCTTATTTCCGGTGTCCCCCGTAGTGATCATGCTCGAATATTGCTAAAAGCGGCGTAAAACAATACTCACTCACTCACCCTATTCATTGTGTCCATCATGCTTACCGTTTTTAGTTGTTTCCTTGTTTTAGCCCCTTAATGACAAGCGCCAGACAGGTAAGCAACCAGTACCATGTTTTAAAGTCGTTTTGTATGACGCGACCGGGGATCGAACCAGGAACCTTCCTCTCTCCTGGGCAAACGCACTTCCACAGGACCACTGGGGCGGTCTACAGAGACCACGACCCACTTGCACAAAGCGACCTTAGTGCTAAGATGATGGTAACTCCCATACTTTAACATAGACTTACAATAGTCTTATCGCTAAGATCGCTTTGTGCAAGTGGGCCCTGAGGTTACCGACCCCGCAGACCACCGGAGACGGCAGTTTGCAACATCGTTCCTGCAACCCTTCACGTCTGTGTTGAGGTTAAGGAACAGACAGAAGACCTTCAAGTACCCCGCCATAAGTACTGCAAAGCCTCACTCAGACTTCGGGTCAAAAAGTTAAAAACGCTAACGATAAGCCATTAAATCCTCGACCACCTGTTCCACGTTATCAGTTATATTTTAAATGTCATTTTAATGTTAGAATTGAACTTGCTCGCTAGAGATAGGACGCGTGCATACTACATGGGTTTTGGCAGCCATATTTACTATTCAAGAGTATCATGACAGAGGTGTTGGTCGTTCTACGTTTCTACTAAATTATGTTTCTGACCGTGAAGACACCTAAGCCTTCGTGTTTCATTACCAGTGACATATGTACAGACTCCAAGACTTTACATGAAGACCAGGGAGTGTCATTTGAGAAATAATGAAAAAGTTGAGACGAGGGTAAAACGAGGCGAGCTATGTACAATTCCAACATTGAAGAAACTCCTGTCGCTGCTCTCTCATTTCGCGATACAAATATACGGTTTCACAAAAAAAAACTCATTTCGGCAACAAATCGGTTCAGGTTCCGAAACTATTTTTGTCAGAAAAGGTTGCTATTTTTTTCCAAATGAAGCATCACTTTCGTCTCTCGGAAGCACTTTTTACAACCACAACACGGCAGGACATAAAAGCAATTAGAAGTTTCCGACAGCCGGCCCTCTCAAATAGGTCATTGTACGCGGGGAGGCGGGCGCCACGAGAAGGCGAGAAAAACCACATCAACACTCCCCTCGTCTGTCCCTCCTTTCTCGGTCAAACTGTGGTCGCTCAGTCAGGCACGAGGGTTTGTGGGGGGTGCTTCTCCAACGTCGGCTAGCCCTTCACCCTGATCCTTGCGACTGTCGCCGTGCGGGGCTCGTCGGCTTCTTGTGTGTGTAGAGTGGAATCCACCCGCGACTGGAGCAACTCAATGATGTACAAGAAGATATGATTTTTTTTCAGATAAAACAAGCGTTTGATTATTATACTTTGATGGATGTTCTTGTGGAAAGGATTTTTTTCCAGATCTAAAACAAAAACTGACGGATAGGAATGAAATATTGAACCAAGGGAACAAAATGGAGAGATTTGTTTGAAAGGGACAACTCTGTTCGTGTGTGTCTTCTGGCAAAGACTGAGGTTGCTGCAGCATCTGTAGCTGCGTCAAGACGCAGGAGAAAGTATACAGCTCAGGTTATTTCTGCAACAAAAAACGGGTATAGGATTTACAATCTGAGAAAAGTGACACACAAAAATGATGGATTAGATTTGAAATGAAGATAGTGAAGATTTAAGTGATCCGGGGTATAAACTCAGAGTGGATGATAGTCCTGCTTTCGACAGCGAGTATGGCGTCAGGAGGGGTTCTCCGACAACTGACAGTGTGTGTGTGTATTATTGGAATGTACATCGCAGGTGCAGCCAGCTACGGCGACGCAAGCGGGTAAGTGTTCTTCCTGCATCCCTTTGATGTTTCTACGTCAATGCACATTACGATGTAACTAATAATAACAATAAACAAACTCGCAAAAAACTCGCAGATGAGAGCGAAGGCCTGCGAGCTAGTTTGTTATTATGATGAATAGTTATAAATGGTCTAAATTGTGGTCAATGCATATCTCTCTCTCTCTCTCTCTCTCTCTCTCTCTCTCTCTCTCTCTCTCTCTCTCTCTCTCTCTCTCGCTCTGACTGCGTGTCTCTATCTGTGTGTGTCTCACACTCTGTCTCTCTGTCTCTCTCTCTCTCTCTCTCTCTCTCGCTCTGACTGCGTGTCTCTATCTGTGTGTGTCTCACACTCTGTCTCTCTGTCTCTCTCTCTCTCTCGCTCTGACTGCGTGTCTCTATCTGTGTGTCTCACACTGTCTCTCTGTCTCTCTCTCTCTCTCTCGCTCTGACTGCGTGTCTCTATCTGTGTGTGTCTCACACTCTGTCTCTCTGTCTCTCTCTCTCTCTCTCGCTCTGACTGCGTGTCTCTATCTGTGTGTGTCTCACACTCTGTCTCTCTGTCTCTCTCTCTCTCGCTCTGACTGCGTGTCTCTATCTGTGTGTCTCACACTGTCTCTCTGTCTCTCTGTCTCTCTCTCTCGCTCTGACTGCGTGTCTCTATCTGTGTGTCTCACACTGTCTCTCTGTCTCTCTCTCTCGCTCTCGCTCTGACTGCGTGTCTCTATCTGTGTGTGTCTCACTCTCTGTCTCTCTGTCGCGCTTGCCCTGTCTCTGCAATGCACAAGTCCATGTTTCTCCACATGAAGGCAGCTAGATGTATATTGCTATCATGTGTCCTGTCTCATGTACTACGCGGGGACACGTGGTCCCAGTCAAACGGGCTATGCACCTCCGGTAGTGGATTCCACTGAACACTTAGAGAAATAATTGCTGGTCTATCAGAATATGTGCCAGACAAAAGGTTGAAGGTCACCGGGGGCTGTATTTCGTCTCCTCAATTCCCCAATACACCAGGAGTCGACTCTCGTCCCTCGCTCAATTGACGTTTGTGTGTTACCCTTCCCCGAAACCTAAACAATTGCGCCGAGAAGAAAAAGAACCTGTTTTAATGCGCGACGTTTTTAACATGTTTGTTAATGCTTAAAGGTTTTGTTTCTAGTGCTTGTGGATGTTCGGTTGCCTGGAAACTATATTTCAAAGAACGAACTCGGAAGGTTAATAAATGTTGTAAAATCCGGAAAAGATTTGAAACGTATGTTTTGTCATTGGTGGGTCTTAATTCGGCCCCAACGCCTTCCTAATTACTTTCACATATTTGTTTGTGTGTGTTGCTTTGATCAAGGGAAGCAGTCGTTCTTGCTGATTGGTGTGTTGCTTTGATCAAGGGAAGCAGTCGTTCTTGCTGATTGGTGTGTTGCTTTGATCAAGGGAAGCAGTCGTTCTTGCTGATTGGTGTTGCTTTGATGAAGGGAAGCAGTCGTTCTTGCTGATTGGTGTGTTGGTTTGATCAAGGGAAGCAGTCGTTCTTGCTGATTGGTGTGTTGCTTTGATCAAGGGAAGCAGTCGTTCTTGCTGATTGGTGTGTTGCTTTGATCAAGGGAAGCAGTCGTTCTTGCTGATTGGTGTGTTGCTTTGATCAAGGGAAGCAGTCGTTCTTGCTGACTGAAATAGAAATGTGAACGTGTGGTCATGTTAAACAGGTCTGCGGTCTAGAGGGGAACTTAATAGAGCGCGGGAAATATGACAATATCGCATAATACGTATGTTAAACATCTATACTGAACAAACGTTAGGGATCAGGCAATATCTGTATATACCATACACATTTAAATACTCAACCTTCACCACAAAATAATATCCTCGAGAATTATGTCTAACAAACGTCACATCTCCGGGCCTCCAGTAGAACTATGGCTAATACACGTCATATCTCCGGGCCTCCAGTAGATCTATGTCTAATAAACGTCACATCTCCGGGCCTCCAGTAGAACTATGTCCAATAAACGTCATATCTCCGGGCCTCCAGTTAAACTTTGTCTAGTAAACGTCATATCTCCGGGCCTCCAGTAGAACTATGGGTAATAAACGTCACATCTCCGGGCCTCTAGTAGAACTATGTCTAATAAACGTCACATCTCCGGGCCTCCAGTAGAACTATGTCTAATAAACGTCATATCTCCGGGCCTCCAGTTAAACTATGTCTAGTAAACGTCATATCTCCGGGCCTCCAGTAGAACTATGGCTAATAAACGTCACATCTCCGGGCCTCCAGTAGAACTATGTCTAATAAACGTCACATCTCCGGGCCTCCAGTAGAACTATGTCTAATAAACGTCACATCTCCGGGCCTCCAGTAGAACTATGTCTAATAAACGTCACATCTCCGGGCCTCCAGTAGAATTATGAATACAAACGTCACATCTCCGGGCCTCCAGTAGAACTATGTCTAATAAACGTCACATCTCCGGGCCTCCAGTAGAATTATGAATACAAACATCGCATCTCCGGGACACTGGTAGAACAATGCCTTACAAACAACAGAGGCCACAAATTACACTATGGACATGGGATCAATGTGTACAATGTCTGAAGCCCGCGTTGTGGCCCCCGACACTAATGGAATGAATATGTGTAGACACTCACTCATTCACTCACTCACTCACTCACTCACTCACTCACTCACAGGAGTCGGAGTCTGTATGCTGACACTGCTGCAGTTCTGATGAAGGGGATGCTAACCTCACTCAATCATAAAGAAATGTTTAGTATTCGTGATCACGGAGCGGGTGTTCTCCCACTAATGTGTTCCACCTCAAATCAAAGGTCCACGTGAGAAGAGTTGGTCGCCTCATTGGGTTTGTGTGTATCCTCGTTCCACAGACAAGTCGTGGAACACTTGACACCATGTTGGCAGTGAAGCTGGGGCCCGTCTGCACAAAGAGTATAAAGAATGGACCCTATAACTGGCCACAGAGTAAGACTTTATTGTGGTACAGGGATGAAAACAACAATATGTCATACACTGGGTTCGAGCTGTAATCACGGCGCGAACAGATCTGATTGAAACACATATTCACGGCAATTAAAAGCGGTCTGTAATTAATCGATTCATTACAAGACAGACTATTGGTTGATAGCATTATCAACGTACCACGCCATTTGACAACGATACACACAATCTGAGACAAGTTTACCTGACCTGGTCAAAGCGACGCCCAGTTCCATGAACACGTGGGTTACGATGGTCAAGGGACACCGAAAAGATTCGTTATTCGTATAAGCAATAATCACTGAAACCACTCCATTGGGGGTAGAATCTAGTTCAACATTGCCTATTATTCGTTAAAATCGTTTCATCCATGGTTGCCAAGCCTTTCTCCAAGGCTGTACTGAAAGATAAGTCCATGGATGTGTAGTAATTATATCCTCCTAATAGGCGAGTCTAGATATGTGGACAGACTCGAGTCTCAGGGAAAACCGTTCTTATTAAAAATATTACATCATCTAGAAATTATGATTTAAACTAATAAGTATTGCCTTTGAGACTTGTGCAAGTCTAGTCTCTGTCATACCTTTTTGTTCTGCCGGGGTCGCTGGTGGCCCAGTCGTCTGTTAACGTGCCGCAATTCACTGAGCTGTGTCCGGCAGGCGTGCCAGAAGGACGTGATCACCGAGTAGCCCTGAGTAGGTTTCTAGGTTTGTCAGCAACATACCCTCAGCAAAGTGGTAAACGTCAGAGACCTGCATCACTTCGGGCTCCCCTCCCACATCAAGCTGGCACTGAATTACTTTTCAAAGGGGCGTTGAACACAACTCACTCACTCACTCACTCACTCACTCACTCACTCACTCACTCGTGTTCGTCATTGTAATGTTGTCCTTTAGTTCCGTCATGGCAATACATATAAACGAACAGGCGACAAAACGACAACAAACACTATCTTAAAAAAAATAAATGTTTTTTTTATGTTTAATTATTTTTTTCATGATTGTGCTATGACCTATGACGAGACCTTGCACAGTGATGAAGCTGGGGTCAAGAGTTCAGTATTGGAGCAAGTACTTAGTGTTCTCATACACAGTACTGTCACAGGGCTGAAATCACAGCGATTAGTCATAAAGCGTGTGTCCTCCATTAGCACGCGGGCGGTGGGGTAGCCTCGTGGTTAAAGCGTTCGCTCGTCACACCGAAGAGCCAGGTTCGATTCCCTACATGGGTTCGATGTGTAAAGCCCAATATCCGCCGTGTTATTGCTGGTATATTACTAAAAGCGGCGTTAGAAAACAAACTCACTGTCTCACCAAATGGAACGTAAACAAGCTATACCCTTGCGTCGAACTGAGCACTATAGTCCGGCCCTATTCCTCAACTAGGATCACGCACTCGCCCTGTGAGTTGAGTAATTAGTTGTTCCCTGATCTGGCGCCACAGAGGCTCGTCGGGGAACATGTCGTGAAATCGTGGTGGTCAGGGCAAGACGTAGAGCTGTATGTAGAACACCAGGTGTTACCTGTGACATATCGTCAGATATCGCAGCTGTGTTGAGCTGTATATAGAACACCAGGTGTTACCTGTGACATCGTCAGATATCGCAGCTGTGTTGAGCTGTATATAGAACACCAGGTGTTACCTGTGACATATCGTCAGATATCGCAGCTGTGTTGACCTGTATATAGAACACCAGGTGTTACCTGTGACATATCGTCAGATATCGCAGCTGTGTTGAGCTGTATATAGAACACCAGGTGTTACCTGTGTCATATCGTCAGATATCGCAGCTGTGTGGGTCGAACATGGAACACCAGGTGTTGCCCCGTTAGATATCGCAGCTGTGTTGATCTATATAGATAAAATGCCAAGGTGTTATCCTCTTCAGATATCGCAACTAGGTGGGCTGGACATAGAACACTTGGTGTTATTCCCATGCAGATAGTGAGGTTGTATTGGTCTTTTTATGTATATACTAAGACGGTATTCCCATGCTGATAGTGCGATTG